CACTTTCTAGCAGATCCGGCTGTACACAGAGGAGAGAGCAGGACGTGAGCGAGCAGAGGCAGAGGCTGTAAAGGAGTGAGAAGAGGGAGAGGGAGACAGTGCCATCTTCTGGCCTGCTATGGGAACGGCCCTCCTCCAGGCCGTAACGCAGCTGGTGCTAGTCCGGAGCTCTCGTTAGCTGGCTTCTCTCTTTCCTGCCTTCCCGAGTACTGTCCCATGGGGGGGGGGAATTTAAGGAATGAGTGCTTCAGTCACATGCAGCAATGTCCGAACAGGACAGTGGAGATGGGTAGTTCATCCTGTGTGCTTTAAGTCATCTGATCACCCTAGGATTCCCCCGAGCGGCGTTAGGGCAGGGCTGGGAGCAGACTGCTGGCGTTCTCTCTGCCCACCAGCGAAGCACGCATCCTGGCCGGGCGCTGCAGGCTGCTGGGCGTGGCGGGGCGGGAGGTGTACTGCGCGTCCAGTCCGCGTGGGAGCGACAGCTGGAGCCCACAGCCGCGATCGCTGCGCCGTCGGGCCTGCCACCCACCCCAGTCTTACAACACTGGCGACTCGGGGACAGAAATTCTCAGCAATTGCCAATGAAAAGGAGAAGATAAAGAAGAACCGAACCCCACAATCGCTAGGATCTGTGATCCCGGTCACGGTCTCGACAATCTGCGGCCTTCCCCCTCCCTCCTGCCGAAACCGCGGCTGGTGTCTATTAAACCGTTATTAAATCAGAGGCGCAAGCAACACTTGTCATTAGCCAAAACCTGGAAGCGATGCCTCAGCCAGCGTGCAGGCGAGCGCGCTGTGATTCACTCAGCCAGCACAGAGAGGACAGAGACCAGCTGGTGGTTTCATGTGTGCTCAGCCGAGTCCTTCAGACCCTTCGGGCCTCAGCTCGGGGGCGCTTGTGCAAAGACAGGCTGTGAGGTGCAGAGGGAGAGAAGCAGAACAGGCAGCAGGAAGAGGCCATCCAGCCCAGCAAGGCAGGAGCGGAGGGTTCCCAGGATCTGGGAACTAGTTTCTTAAAAGGTATCATCAACATGGCTGGGCTGTATCTTTTTTTAACACGGTGACCAAATTGAACAGAATACTTTAAATAAAGCTGAACTAGTGTATTATACAATCCAAACAGAGAGAAAAGTTTATCAAATAAAGCCCATCTACATTGTATGGGTGACAGGGCCTTCTCGCCCCCAAGCTCTGGAATGCCCTGCCCAAGGATATCAGAGAGTCACCTTCTCTAAACTCCTTCAAATCCAGACTCAAAACCCTCTTTTTCAGAAAAGCCTTTACTGAACTGTTCCATTCTTCACCCCTCTGCTTTTCTTAGTAGCACCATCCACGGTCTCCTCTGTATATTGTAATTGTGTGTATTCTTTTTATTTATTGTTGTTGTCGTTCTGTAAAGCGCTTTGAGAAGCCACCTTTAAAGGCGCTATATAAAATAAAGTTTATTATTATAATAAATAAAAGCCATGACATTCAGAGCTCCCCCCCACCCTCCACCCAAACACGCTAAAATGTAAGATCACCCTGCCCATTTTCGGAGTGTTTTTCTATTGTGAGCCTTTGTGTTAAAAGCGTGCACGGCTCATAAGGACCTCCTGGAGACCCTGCATAAACAGTTGTGCTTATCGTTACTTACACCTCAGGTTCCTGATCTGTTCTTATGTTCTGCATCTTGGTTTTTTTAATGACAAAGAGAGGGGTCAGCAAACCTGATACAGAAGTGTTTTTCATGGTTTAATTGAAGCAATTAGCGACGCGATCATTGAAAACGGCAGTGTGATCTTCAGCCTGATTTGAGATGCATAGAAAACGCATCCAGGAGCAGGGCTTAATGATTTTAGGTAATTGCATGCCATTTTCACTGCTCTCCAAACAACCTTTACGGAGAGGGAGGAGAAAACCATCTTGGCAAACACCACACAGTGCTCTCTACAAGAAAACGTCTTCCCCAGCTTTGAATCAGTCCAGCAAATGGATAAAACAAACCCCATGTGCCGATTTTTCAATTTTGGAGGTGGATGAGATAAGCACAAGCGCTTGACGTTTTCCAATTCTTCAAGAGCTGATCGTGGGGGACCCGGGCTTTTCGGGGGGTTCGGGGTTGGGGGGTGCGGACTCACAGTGGTGCAGGTTGTTCCAGTCCACGCTGGAGAAAAAGGGGTGACAGCGCAGCCCCTCGTACCCGAGCCTCTCGCCTGGGCCGCACAGCAGACTCTGCACCAGGTCCACAAACTCCCGGCTGGCCTGCGGCTCTTCGGGAAACTTGAGGTACCGCTGCAGTAAGGCACAGAGACAGGCATGGACAGCAGGGGAATACCACGGTTATCCTCTCGCAGGGCTGCCTCCTACCCTCTTGTATTTATCCTACCCAGCAAGTAATCAGGGGCCCCAGCTCCGGGTTTCAGAAGGAAACCAAGGTTGCGTGATGAAGGCACCACGGACCTCCCCTTCGTGTCGGGGTCTCGACCGCTTGGGCACACAGCGCAGCCTCGACCTGGGGGCGAGAAGCCGGTCTCCACAGGGGTGCAGCCTCGGAGCACCAGAGCCAGGGGCTTCCGATCCGGCGCCAACTTTGCTTTGCGTCAGCCAGACACAAACAGGGAGTCAGCCCCCGGAGAAACAGTGTGCGCCCCGCTTGGCTTCCAGGAGGAAATGTAAAAATCTTTCTACAGACACCAGCAGGCTACGTGCTGCAACTCATTAAAGGCCTGTGGAGAAAACCGTTGCCGTTACTGGCTGTGTGCTCAGAGGGCTGCGAGCTTCTGCAGGAGCTGTGTGAAAAGAGTTCATTTCTGAACGCCGGGCAGCAAGACACACAAGAGGTGAGGAGAATCGCCCTACAGGCTACCCAAACACCCCGACTTGCTGAAAACCCTTGTCTACAAGTCCCGACAAACTCACACCCACACGTGGCTCAGCAGGGCTGGTAGCCTTGATCACAGAGCCAGAGACTCAACACCCAGCACAAAGCAAAGCGGACAAAAACACAGCAGTGTCTGTTGCTACGGCTTTGTGCACCATGCAGGCCCTGATACCAGCACTCACACAGCAGAAGGCTGGTATATGAGAAACTGGGCAAGGACGTGCTGTTGCAGAACTGGACAGTGCTTCAGTTGATGACTCCATGGCTGAGGAAGACACTGGGAAGCTCCACTCTGGCGCTCCCCCCAATCCCCTGCCTGCTCTGCTCACCTGGAAGTTCAGGATGTTGTTGATGGTCTTGGTGGACGTGCCTTCGGCAAAGGGCGACTTCCTGTAGATCATTTCGTAGGCGATGACCCCGAGAGACCACCAGTCGCACTCCACGCCGTACGGCAACCCCGCGTCACCCTTCGCAGCGTTCAGCACCTCCGGGGCTGTGAAGTCCGGAGTCCCGAGGGGCAGCTTGGAGCTCACCTGCCGGGGGAAACGGTGTAAAACCTGAAATGGATCACAGCGCAGTGCAACGGGAGCTGGACTGCCCGTGTGACTCAGGCTAGATGCCTTAATCCTACATGACTGGATCTTTACTGGTCAACTGGCAGGACACTGTAGGTGCAAGATGAGTAATCTAGTACACACTCCAGAACACACACTAAGGCAAACACCTTAGACTTCAAGCCAAAGGCCAAACCATCGCCCAACACCATGGTTGTTACTACACAAACAAAGAGCAAACACTCCATCGGGATTTTCACTGACAGAAAGGCAGGAAAAGAAAGGAAAGCATCTGCCGCAGGGCTCTCCCCCTCTCCGGCACCTGGCCACACATGCGCGAGAGCATAAACCGCAATTACCGTCTTCGTGGCGGTGAGCCTGGCCGCAGAGCCGAAGTCTGCCAGCTTTATGTGTCCCGTGCGGTCAAGCAGGACGTTCTCCGGTCTGACATCTCTGGGGGCGGGAGGAAGAGGAAGGGGAGGAGATGAATGTGCACAAACACGTGGAGCGCTTATGTCTCACCCGAAGGACGGCGCCTTTTTATAGTATAGTGCCCCCATCACTATATTGGGGCGTTAGGACCCACACAGACAGTAGGGTGAGCGCCCCCTACTGGCCCCACTAACACCTCTTCCAGCAGCAGCCTTAGTTTTTCCCAGGAGTCTCCCATCCAGGTACTGACCAGGCTCACACTGCTGAGCTTCAGTGGGCTGCCAGCTGTGAGTTGCAAGATCATATGGCTGTTATAAAATGTATTTAAATATCCTGCTTGCTCTCCTCTGTTAAACAAACTCTGTTAGGTGAACCCCTGTTCACCCATCCATTATCGGGAAGTTGCTGATTCATGGTAAAGCTACTGCAGTCCTGAGCTTGTCTCAGAGGTAGAAGGCACAAGGCAGGACTCTAAGCACGTCAATCCGCAGGAATTGAACCCGGATCCCCGAGAGCCGATAGATAGCAGGGTTAATCGCCACATCCCCACGCTGCCCAGAAAGCACGTCATCGCAGCCAGATCTCAAACAGGTCGGCGATGAAAGACAAATAAAAACCTGGCCTGCGTCAACTCCCTGTGCTTGGACTGAAATAAGACACCTTTGTGCAGCTCCCGCAGAGAATCTGTCACTATGCTGTGCGCCCCTGTAAGGGAAGCCAAGGTACGGTACTAATAAATACTGAAAAAAACATTAATGCAATTAACCTAAAGAACTGGCAGCCAACTCCTCCAGCCCTGCCAGATCCAGAGGGAATCAGAGAGATGGAAAGAGAGAAAAAAGGACAGGACTTTGCATTTTTGTGTCCACTTACTTAATACATATGACAGTCACATCAATACATCAACTCTGACATGAACCAAGAGAGAGAATCAAAGAGCAGGACGGGCGTGGGGGTGAGCTTCAGAGAAGAGCTAAAGACGGAGACAGGGAAGGAAGGAGACTACGGATGGCCTCAGCCAGGGCTACACGGATCCCAGGCCAGCGACTGACCTGTGGACGTATCCCATCTGATGCACGCTGTGGATGGCCAGCACCAGCTCGGCCAGGAAGAACTGGGCCGTGGCCTCGTCAAACTGGTCCTCGTACCTGTTCATCAGAGCCAGGAGGTCCCCCCCAGGCAGGTACTCCATCACCTGGCCCAAGACAAAAAAAAATCGTCTCTCAAACATCCGGCAGTAGCAGTTCACAGGTGACACACTCAGTATGATTGGGCACCAACAAGGCTGTAGAAGGAAAAGCTAGAGATCCAGAAGAGGTTTTCAGAGACTGAGACCACAGGCAGAACACGCACCAGGTGTTCAGTTTCTGACCCTTCGGGAGTGTGGGGGCAGCAGGCAGGACTGGACAGAGAGAATTGAGAAAATTGTTGGAAAACTCTCTTAGTGAAGCACCCAGACTCCAGCAGAGCTGCCCTGTTCCCAGAGCTCAACAATTAAGTAATAACTTGGAAGGACAAAGACCCAGGATGGGCCCAGGACGCATGTATCGACAGCTCACCGTCTTCTTTCAAGAGACAACGAAACCCCTGGATCTGGAGGAACTGCTAACGACCAGACAGGAAAGATGGGCTTAAGGTCCTCCTGGCCTTTGTAACCACTGGTTACATGCCAGGAACCATCACGAGCTGAGGGGAGACCCACAGCCTACTCTAGACAGCGCTGCCGAAACCGCTACCCTAATAGATGTAATCAATGATTATAAAGTTACTGCTCCTTTTCAGATGGCTTCAAATTCTAAATGAGATCAGAAAGTACGCCTCATTTCAGCTCTACTGCCACTCAAACCGCTGCAGAATCTGTAGATTTCTGGATTCTCTTTAAAAAGGGTGCAGCAACTGGCACAGTAACTGCGAATTAAAACCACTTTGAAACAGAAAGGCAGTAGCTAAATGTCATAAACCAGAGCAAATCACAGAGATGATGGTAAAAGCGAGCTATAACTGCCCATACCCACAAGATTATAAAAATAAAGGGAGACTTATTGATGGATTTTCAAAGCAAGACCCAGAATCTGAGACTGAAAACCAGGCAGTAATATTATGACATCTGTCGCAGTGCATGTGTTTGCCACAGTTTGGCCCCTTTATGTAATCACAGCAGTGAGCTCATGGTCACCAGCTCCCGTCTGAACAGGAACACAGTCCTCTGCAGAACGACCGACGACCACCGGCATCTCACTGCTTCTCCTGCATGTCGAATGCACATGTATAGAAAAGCTCGGGAACGCCTTCCCTACGCACAAGAAAGCTCAGCTACGGATGCAGACAGGCCTACAGAGGCGCGAGGGATGAATGGGAGAGAGAGCTGCTCTGTCAGAGCTGGAGAAGCGACGACTGGGAACGTTACCTAGCAACAAGATTTTGTATTTCTTTCAAGCAAGCACAGGCAAAACCGGGCAGGAGAAAAAAAAATCTGACATCTGTACATTTCAGGATCTGGGAGGGAGGAGTGGAGGATGGAGGAATCAAGGATTTTTTTTTTTGTTTCCTTTTTTGCAACTTTTTTATAGAAGTGCTCGAATGTCTTTTTTTCCAGCGGTGCTGCAGGAAGTGGAGTCTCCATTGTTACTGCAGCTCTGAACACATCTTTCGCCAGGGACATTACCCCATTACCCCCCCTTTTAGATTACAAATAACAATGGAAAAACTGAGAATGGTTTTATGAATAAGCATATTTACCTCTTTGTCTGAGTGTGCTTAATTGCTTCTGATAATTATGCACACCTTCCAGCCCCACCCCTGCCCTCGTTAACAAGCACTGTGTCAAAGGTCACCCTGTACCCGGAA